TTCACAATATTTTGTTCTTTTGCTAAATCTCCCAGACCCTGTTCTGCCATTCACTTGCTTAAGCCAGCTAAGTATGTCACGCGTTGCTTTCCATAGTCTCTCTTTCCCTCTATCCGCCCTATGAGTATCAGATTCTCCAAGCCTTTCTTTCTCATTACGTGTCCCTGAAATTTGCCTCTTCCCGATGTTAAGTACAAACTTCGTCTTTGTTTGCATCCGCTCCAAAGCATCATCGTTGCTCACATGTTCACTCCATGATATCCTTAGCATCCTTCTGTAGAACCATACCTCCGCTGCCTCGAATCTCTTCTTCATCTTTGAGGAGACCGCCCAACATTCACTGCCGTAAAGGAGGACAGATATCACGTAGCAGTTCAGTACTCTTTTCTTTGTTACCAACGAAATGCTCCTGTCTCGTAATACTCTGCTTAGCTTTTGGAATACGTCTTTGACCATCCCAATACGTCTTTGGACCTCAGTGTCGCACTTACTATCCTGTCAGAGCACTTCCCAGATATTCAAAATTTCTCATCTGTTTGATTTTAGTGTCCTTGGCCTGTAAATCGCATTTCGGGCTCATCATTTTGCTGATGACCATACATTCTGTCGTCTTGTAGTTTAACCAAGTATAAATTTATTATGGATATGACCAGAACCAAAAATGTTCATAACTTTAATCATTCTGATATATATCAACACAACTTCGATCTAAAAAATGCCACACATATTAAAAGAGAGAATAACTTAGATGGAAAGTTCTTGAGAGTGTAGCGATTGATTCTTCCCAAAATGTTAACTTACGCCCTGGATTTTCTTAAAATAAATAGTGTTTTCCAGGCCAAAGCACATGACCATGAAAAACCTTAAATCAAAAGAAAACGTTTAACTCAAGACCTTCTTTTAATTAAAATAATTAAATACATAAATAATTTATCAAATTAAAACAAAATAATAAATGATAATTATATTAAAAATAAATAAATACATATAAACAAATAAGAAAATAAAAATTCAACATCTAAATTAAAAATATTTACTCATTTCTGTTTATTAGGTATTAAATTACATCACTTAGGGTCCTCCATACTTGAATTTCAAAGTCAACCCTAAAAATATGATAGAGCGTTCTCTCATTTGAAAATTTTGAGAACTTAGCGATATATTTACTTCAGTTTATACATACATGTTCCAAAATAAAATCTTTACATTTAATTTGCTAATATCCCTTAGGGAATGAAACGCGTTGGTAAAGGATAGTTTTTATATTTTTCTCCATTCATACTTTTCTTTTACAGATATATTTTATTTAAAGCTCATTTTTTTAGCACACACACACATATATATATATAAGTATGTATATTTGGGCAGCACATTTTCATTCAAACGGATTTGGATACCCATCAGTGGCTATGTAGTGCAGGGTTGAAAGCGGAAACTGAAGGTTTTATCCTTGCTGCGCAGGACCAATGCTTGCTAACTAGGAATTATCAAGCACATATACTAAAATATTGTGTCAGCCCAAAATGCAGATTCTGTGATAAATATCCAGAAACGATTGATCATCTTGTATCAGGTTGTACGGTGTTGGCACCCACTGAATATAAAACCCGACATGACAGAGTGGGCCAATATCTGCACTGGAAAATCTGCAACTTCTACGGGAAGGAAACTGAAAGAAACTGGTATGAACACCACCCAGACCCGGTTACGGAGATAGGACCTGTTACAATTCTGTGGGACTACAATACACACTGACAGAACAATCAAGGCCAACCGGCCAGATATTGTTATTAAAGACCACAAACAAAAACGATGCCTCCTTATTGATATGGCAGTCCCTGCTGACTGCAATGTATCTTTGAAGATATTCAAAAAGTTGTCAAAGTACAAGGACCTTGAAATAGAAATCTCGAAAATGTGGCATATGGGAACATCAACAATTCCTGTTGTAGTTGGAGCCCTAGGACTGGTTGGAAAAGATTGCAGTAGACTAATTGAAGGGATTCCTGGAAGTCCATGCCTCAAGGAGATACAAAAAATTGTTCTGACAAGTACAGCCCACACCTTACGAAGGGCTTTATCTATGTAATTTAATTTTTTTTTTTTTGTCAGTGGAAAGTGTCATGACGCCATTTCTAACCTTAGGTCCCTGGGCGGGACCCGGAAAGAAATGTGTAAACGCCAGAAATCAAAGAAAATAAAAAAATAATAAAATAATAATAATAATAATAATAATAATAATAATAATAAATAAGTTACCTCCTTTGCATAGGAAAGAAAACCTCTTGAATTTTAATTTGACTTTAAAACGCAGTAAAACGAAAAAATATTTTGAACTACATATACACACGCACAAAAAATTTAACCCCCTGAAAATGGTCTCAGATGAGATCGAAAGCCCATTACACACACACACACACACACACACACACAGACACACACAAGATATAAGATATCGCACAGTGATTGCGTTGTAAATGAAACTCCGATTCGTGCCACCGGTGATGGATAATATGTATATTTATTAATATATGTATTACGTTGTCAAGCATTAAATGACGCACTTCATAGGAAATCAATATAACGCTTTTGGACTGTTATACTACTAATTTATTGAGTTGAAATAGTCACCATGTTGATGAATAACTATTCTCCAACGTACCTCGAAATTCTAGATGCCACCTTTAAAAATATTCTCATCCTTTGATGTAATAAACAGTTCAAATGCTTCGATTACCTCTTCTTTATTGGAGAATATTTTATTACGTCTGAAAAGCTCAAAATGTTTAAATAAGTGATAATCAGTAGGAGAGAGATCAGGTAAAAAAGATGAGGCAAACTTTCAGAATTCAGGTTATGCAGCGTTTGAACAGTTGGTTGTGAAGCGTCCGGCCTATTCACAAGTCTAGGCTGTTTGATTTTCAATTTCTCGTGCATACACACAATTTCTCCACAATACAAGTAATATATACAAATATTATTTTCCTTTGAGGCAAGAAGGAATAATGAGTAAAACCCTTTGAATTCAGTAACGATTAATTTTTTAGGGTTCATTGGATGTTTTGTGTATTGTTTTGGGGATTCCCTTGCATCTAACCATTGACCTAATCTCTTACTGTTGTCAAATAGTATCCATTTCTCATCGGATGTAATGTTTCGAGGCAAAAATAGTTCTTTTCCTCAGTTCGTACTCATATAGTAAGATTACTCGACATTGTTTCATTGTAATCATTTTCAGTGGGCGTATAACAATATATTGAAAAAAAATTACCTGGAAAGAAAAGGAGTGAGGAATAAGTCAAGATTTTTTATATCCTAAGGTAACTTCGTTAGGCGACCGGATCAACAACCAACCAAAAAATACGTCATTTCACGTCACAACCTCATATATATATATATATATATATATATATATATATATATATATATATATATATATATAATAATAAATGTAATGAGAGCGAAAATAATATAAATTGAAACGTTTACAGCATTAATTCAAAAGAGGGTTTAATAGCAAGTATAGAGAAATAACTATTTATTGTAATTTTTGCATATAGACAAAACAACTTATTCACTTCAAAGATGCAACTTTGTTTCGGGGCATTTATTTGCACCTCGACTGGTGAGAACCTTTTCATTGAGTAACTATTTTTTTTTGTCCGCATATATATATATATATATATATATATATATATATATATATATATATATATATATATATATATATATATATATATATTATGCAAGACTCTTCGGTAAAGCGAATCGAGTCCTCTCAGTCACTGTGTTTATCTAAAAATCTCTGTGTTTATCTAAAAATAAATAAACTCACCTTCGTCCCTGGCTTAATGGTAAAATCTCCGACTCACGCCAGTTTAGTTGGGTTTCGATCCTAGCTAGAGGCAACCGGACGTCTAGCCACGCTGATGCGCTATTATACAGCGAAAGAGTCTGTCTGTGGATGGCTATATATATATATATATATATATATATATATATATGTGCATGCGGACAAAGACAGTTACTCACTACAAAGATACATTATGTGCATCTCGACTGGTGAGAAACAAAAATGGACATAATGCATCGAAACACGAATGCATTTTGTGGTGAGTAATTGTCTTTGTCCGCATGTAAAAATCTATAATATATATATATATGTGTATCCCTTTTTGGTACACTCTACTAAATCGTGTCTTAAGAGTGTTGAAGAGTTCATAATGAAACGGGATAAAGAAGAAGGAAAATTGATTTAATTTTCTGGTCGAAGATTATTATAAAGTGAACACAAGCTGCAAATGTCTGACTCATATCTTGGTTCCATAACCAAAAACCTCAAAGTTTTCCAAAGTTTCAGCCACGTGTGGACCTCAATTATGGGAAACATCGCTTAATTATACTCAATTCTACACTGATTTCATTTTTTTCTTTCACTCAGTAATTAGATCATATTATATTCAAAGTTTGAGCCTTAGTTTTGAAACCCGAGGCCTCGTTAACTCTTGCCCATCCCGAACTTAATTACCGTAAAAATATGGTTTTATATTTTCTTAAAAGTTCAAGGTTTTTTTTTGTTTTTTTTTTATCTGCTCCTCCCCCGAAAAATCAGAAACCTCTGTAGCTCAACTCTCTACCTTAGTCAAAGACATGATTTAATAACTACTGAATCCGAAATCTCTCGCTGGGCTTTTTTATTTCTTTATGAATAAGAAATGTAAAGATTATTTTTTTTTACTAAGAGGCGAAAGCAAGAGATTTTCTGTGTTCTTCCGTAACAGGAGAACCAACTTAAACTGTAAATTTATATCTTGTGTTTCCTTATTTTTTTTTTTTTACAATATTTTATTGGTGATGGAAACCACCTTTTGTTTATCGAACCCTAAAAGCGGTCATGAAATTATTATGATTATTATTAGAATAAATTGTATATGTAGTTTTATCTGACCCATGTTTGAAATTTTGGTTAAGGAGTGGCCTCTTCGTCGTCCGCTTATTAAATGGTGGCGGGAAGCAGATTCGAGTTCAAGGATATCAATAACAATTCTTTCTTTTTTTCTTTCTTTCTTTATTTATTTATTTATGTTTTTCTTTCTTTCTTTCTTTCTTTCTTTCTTTCTTTCTTTCTTTCTTGTTTCTGTCCCCTAACTTCTTTATCTTGTTCAATATTCCCCTTTCTTTTCCCCTTTATCTTTTTACCCTTCTCGTTTGCTGGGTTCCTCCTCTCCCTATTCTTCTTTACGTTTTCTCTTCTTTATCATCTTCTACCCCGCCTCTGTCTTCTTCTTCTTCTTCTTCTTCTTCTTCTTTCTTTCTTTTACTCTGCCTTTTCGTTTTCTTTTCTTTCTCTCCATCATTCTCTCACATTCCCTTCCTCCGTTTTTCTTCTCTTCTTGATTTTTCCTTTCTTTCTTTCTTTCTTTCTTTCTTTCTTTCTTTCTTTCTTTTCGCTTTTTCTTCTCCTCTTCTTTTCCCACTTCTCTTTCTCCCTCTCGTCTTCTAGTCGTTTTATCTTTACATCTTCTCTCCATTTCTACTTATTTTTCTTTCCTATTCCTTTTCCTTCTATATCGTCTTCCTCTTTCCCACCTTCTCACTTCTCTTACAATATCTTCTTTTTTTTTCTCTCTTCCTCCGAGAACAAAGTTTTCTAGTCTTTCATCCTGATTTGATCGGAAATCACAAAGATCCCGTTACACGGCATACTTCTCTTTTCGTGGACAAGCGGAAAAAGACGAAGAAAGGCTCGCTTCTGTTTTTATCCTGTCATTTTTGACATTGATTTCAGTTGATCACCTAAACCAGCTGAAAAAACAAAAAGAGACAAGTGTTGGCTTTTCCACTGCTAAGTTGTCACCATCCTGAAAACAGGTCCCCGCTTGGAAAGTGGGTGGGGTTACTGAAACATCCAGTAACCTCGTTCCTCTTTGTGCCACAATGACGGACACGCTGAGGACCAAACGGTTTTGTCGGCAAATGTGGCCAAATTAGAGACAACGCCGCAGGCTTCCATTGTGTTTGACTACGATTAGTCTTTTCCCTTTGGGTAGGCCCCCAGGGTTCTGTAGAATCTACTCCACCTCACCAGTAAACACTTATTAATCGTGTAGGATTTAAAAAAAAAGACGAGAAGAAAAAGAGGGAGTAAGAAGAAGAAGAAGAAGAAGAAGAAGAAGAAGAAGTGGAAAGATGAAGAGGAAGAAAACAGAAGAAAGACGATATGACGAAAAGGGAAGGAGAAGAAAAGCGCGAAGAAGATAAGGAAAAAAAAAGAGAGAGAGAGAAATGTTTACAAAGACAAAAGAATAAGACGAAAGAAAAGAAGTTGGGGGAAAAAGAAAGAAATCGAAAACAAAAATGAAGGAAAAGAGAAAAGAAAGCAGAGTAAAAAAGAAGAAAAATGAAGAAGAGGAGTAGGAAGGAGGAGGAGCATAGTAAGAAGAAGAAGAAGATGGAGGAGGAGAGCGTCATGAAAGGAAACCAAAAAAAGAAACGATAATATATTATTTGTGTGGATATTTATTAAACATGATGTCGTACAACTCGGTACTAAATAAAGGAAAATTTGCGCCAATTTTCTGAATAAGACCGTAATTATTTAAAATTCATCAATCGAGAAGAAGAAGAAGAAGAAGAAGAAGAAGAAGAAGAAGAAGAAGAAATCAATAGAAAAAATAATAAAAGCCAAGCGTGAGGAAGGAATATAGAAGAAAGAGGAAGAAGAACGAGAAGACATGAAGGAAGAAGAAAAAGAAGCAGTCGGTGAAGTTAGACTCGAAAGAAGAAGAAGAAGAAGAAGAAGAAGATGATGATGATAATGATGAAAGAAAGAAAGAAGTCCGTAGAAGCACATTCTCACTCTCTCTCTCTCTTTCTCTCTCTCTCTCGCTCTCTCTTTCTTTCACTCATTTACTGTTACATATATACACGGACATCCACGTTCATACGCAGCAAGGGGAAATATTTTTTTAACAAATCTACTCCTACATAAGTATAATTGCAAACAGAAACACACTCAGGATATGTGTGTGTTTGTGTCCGTGTTAGTGTGGATTAATAAACTAAAGCGGTCGGTGTTCGAGTCTCGGTAAAAGGTCACGATTTTGAATGCTGTAAGTTAATCAAACGATTTCACCTGGAAGATTTGAGCGATAAAACCTTATTCCCTTTTCCTCTTATTAAATATCCGTCGATACAGATGTTTTTGGGCGACGGTGTCTCTCTTCTCTCCCAGATTTTTTTAAAGGGTGTAATATATTCATACAAATTCTCGGAGACTACAATTTGCTTATCCATCCTAAATATCTATTATTAAAACAATGACGTCTTCGACTTTCTCGAATTTGTTTTTACAGGATCGTTTTTCAATTCTTTTTCTTCCCACTTTTTTTTAGCCATAAATTACCGCTCATTTACCCACGAATGGAGCTCTGTGATTATGCCTTGGCTGTTTTTTTTTGTTGTTTTTGTTTCGTTTGTTTTTTCTATAGCTTTCATTTAATATTCCCGGTCAGGAAAATAAAATAAAAAGTTTTTTTTTCTTTTGTTTTTCTAGTGATATCTAGGAAAATGATGACGTTTCACCTCGGTGCCTACCAGACAATTTTCTTTGATATCTCTTCAGAAAGTGGCTCTCTACTACTTCCTATCCTTGGTAGATTTGTAGCAATGTTTTGTCTCCTTATTATCCTTCTGACTCTCTGTTAAGCTCGTTAAGGCAGGCTACTCGATATTTTCTTCTGCTTCAGTAGGTCTTGTGAGTGTCAGATTCTCCAAGCCCTCTTTCCTCATTATGTATCCTAGAAATCTCTTTCTGATTCTAAGTAAAATTGTCTCTTTTGTTCCCATTTTTCTTTAAACGTCGTCGTTGCTCACATGATATTCTCATCATGGTACATAATAATAAGTTATATCCAGCTTCCATCCATGGGATTCTCAACATCCTTCTGTAGAACCATATCGCTGTTGTCTCAAGTCCCGTCTTTATCAAAAAAAAAAATTATCACGGATAATTTATGTCGGAATAGATATTACATAGCAGTTGAGCATTCTTTTCTTTATTTCTAATGAAAATTTCCGGTCTCTTAATATTTTGCTTAGCTTTTGGAAGACATCTTCTTCGGTTCCCTCCTATTTCTGTGTCACAGTTTCAGTCGTATGTTGTAACAATTCTTCTCAGGTAAATTTCGGTGCGTTTATTGATTCTGATTTCTCTGATGTGTAGCTGGCAAATACAAAAGTTTAAATATCTAGTTAGTGTTTCAACAGAAGACAAAAGCTGAAACACAAAACCCCGAATAACCATTGGAATAGGAAAAGATGCCTTCCCGAAACTAAACAAGGTATTAAGAAACAGAAAATTTTATTAGAAACAAAGAAAACAGTGCTGAACTGCTATGTTATATCAATCCTCGTGTACGGCTGTGAATGCTGGACAATTTTTGGGGGGCAGGTGACAAGAAGACTGGAGGCAACGAAAAGGTATTTCTAGAGAAGAAAACTGAGGATACTATGCATTGAGCAACGAGTTGACTTTGAAGAAAATGGAAACAAAAGAGCACTTACACTTAGAATCAGAAAGAAATACCATAGAATTCTTGAACGCTTAATGAGAAAAGAGGTCTTTGATAATTTGGCACTCACAAGATATGCCAAAGCCATAAGGAAAGGGGAAGTCAGCGAGCTTCTCACCTGGGCAGCTTCTGTGAATGGGAGTGGAACAAGATTTTAGGAAGATGGCAAAATAGGAACGCTACAAATAGCTACAGGGTACGAAAACACTACATTATTCTGACTACTGTCTTCATCTTTGTTGCCATATTTGTCATAACTTCGGCCGTTGTACGCTCCGGCCTTCTTTGGGTGGTTGGAATGTCGAACTGAACCCTTTATTTCGCTCGATGGTGTAGACTGTTCTACTTCCACGTGCCATGTCTAATGGATGTCAGTTATCAGTTATCTCCTATTAATTCATCACTCCTAGTTCTTAGTGCAAGTTTATTTTGATTAAATTAATTTTACTTCAAAATAATGCATATACATTAACTATTTCTATAATACGATTCCTAAAACTTATCTTTATATTTCTGAGATGAGGTATTATGTACACTATTTTCATTATTCGGACTACTGTGCTTATCTTTGTTGCCATATTTATCACAACGTTTCGGCCGTTGTACGCTCCAGCCTTCTTCAGGTGGTTGGAATGTCGAAGAAGTCCTCGAAATTCATACACAGATGTCCTCAAGGACACATGGCAGAGTGGCGTTGGTTAGATCCAGTGACAGGACCCAAAGAATTGTGACTTCAATACCTGGTCAAGGCAGTGGAGAACTTGAAGAGGTGAATTAACAGGAGATAACTATGTACACTATTTACATTATTCGGACTATTGTCCCCATCTTTGTCGCCATATTTATTACGTTTTGGCCACTGTTTGCTCCGGCCTACTTCCGGTGGTTGGAATGTCGAACTGAACCCTTTATTTCGCTCACTGAGGTAGACTGTTCTAGTTCCACGTCCAATGTTTAATGGATGTCACTTATCAGTTATCTCCTGTTAATTCCTCTCTCAAGGACACATGGCACAGTGGGTGAAGATCCAGGGCAGGACCCAAAGGGTGTGAGTTCAATACCCGGTTAAGGCAGTGGAGAACTTTCAGAGAGGAATTAACAGGAGATAACTGACATTCATTAGACATGGCACGTGGAACTAGAACAATCTACCCCAGTGAACGAAATGAAGGGTTCAGTTCGACATTCCAACCACCTGAAGAAGGCCGGAGCGTACAACGGCCGAAACGCTGTGATAAATATGGCGACAAAGATGAGGACAATAGTCCGAATAATGTAAATAGTATATATATATATATATATATATATATATATATATATATATATATATATATTATAATATAAATAGTGTACATAATACTTCATCTCAGAAATACAGACAGATACTGAAGGGACATACAGTTGTGGAGAGTTATGACCGCCCAAGGAACATGAAGATGATAATAAGATCTTGGGTTCTCCTAAGTAATGACACACATTTGTCTTACAATTGATGGTTAATCTTTTCTGTTCGTTTTCCGTTACTACTTTGTCTAGGAGTTCCTGCAATATTCTTTCTGTGTTTGCAGTGTCATCTGCGTATCTCGTGTTATTAAGATTTTATCCGCCAATAATAAATCCTGACCGAACTTCTAGATCTTTTAGGATCGCTTTACTGTGTAGAAAGACGACCGACCCTCTCTGCTCTACAATAAAAATTGCTGAATATAGACTCATCCACACATTATGAGTAGGAGTTCTGCTCATAGAAACGGAGTCGTAATGTGGGTCGTACGCGTAAGCCACATTAACTACGACATTCTCTATTATTGTATTATTAATCTATGTGATTTAACTGTTTCTTTACTAATCTTTTGCTCCGGTGTTTTTTCTTGGAATAGTATTAACAAAACTACGAGCTTTTACGAACATTATAACAGTGGCGACAAGGATTCGAAACTCACGTTCGAAAAAAATATTCTGACGTTGTAAGGATTTTTAAACTTACGTCAACCTAGGGTATAAGAAACGCACAATATGGAGGACTTAAAAATCGTGTTAAAGCAATTATTGGAACAACAGAAACAACAACGAACACTACA